TATGTTACTGGCTAAAATTCAATAAAAAAAATGAAAAAAATAACATATTTTATTCTTTCCGTATTGACCCAGACCAAATGTTCTATGACCACGACTGGTCCCCTAGCCAGTGTTTGTGAACCCCCTCATTTAAGGGGTTGACTGTGTTGAAGATGGTAACAATATGTAGGAAAAAAAACCCCAAAAAATACCTAAAGATATTGAATAAATCTGTAACAGCTCTAATTCATTCAAAGGGTGAGTTTTGAATCACATCATTATAAATGAGTTCTATTCCATTTCTGAAGAGCAGATGAACTCGTCTTTTGTCTCAGCAGACGAGTGAGTCCAAACTGTCTCCACCCCAGAGACGCTCTTTTTCGAGTGATATTTTTGGCTAAAGGTGCAAATTTACGATGGAGCGCAGACTAAACAAACAAAACAAAAACACAAACAAACACACCTGATTGGTGACTACATTTGGTCTTTGCACAACAGCAGTGGTTCAACACCTCAGCCTCACCAATTATAGATAATGAACCAAATCAACAGAGGATTTCTCCCATGTTATTATGACACACACACACACACACACACACACCTTGTGAGCGGGAGTAGACCACCACGGAGCCTCCGACCAGGCCGGCGTACAGACAGGGTCTCTTGTAGACCAGACTGGTGACGGTGGACTTGTCTGGAGTGAAGAACTGCTGCAGACGCACTTTCTTCGACCTCTGGCTGCTTTTATAAACGATGATGCTGCGGAGGACAGGAAAAAAAACATCAACATCAACAACAACAAAGAGCTCAATGTTGTAGAGAAAAACAGAATAAATAAATATGATGAAGTGAAATAACGACATCTGAGCTCAAGTGGAAACAGAAATGTCCAGTTTGTGTACAGTAAGCACTGCAGGGATCAGTTAATGCAGACTAAACATTTTAAATCTCCAGCTCTGTTCTTTATTCTGATCACTGAAGATCCTAAAAGTGAACGTTAGCTTTTACATTTTCATACAGGAGAACAGACAGTTTAACCTGAGTCAGTGTTTGTGAAATTAGAATTATATACAGATTCATCTTTACGCCACTGACACAGCAAATATGTTTTACCTCGAGGTTTTCTTTTTTTTTAAGTCTATACTTATTGTATATAAATACATATCTGGAAGTACTTTATCCCAGAGATTTTTTAGTTACACTAGTCACAGCAGAAGTACTATTTTTTTCACCATGTTCGTAATATTACTTTAATTGCTATAAATACATATAAACAGAAACAAAAATATATATGTATATTTACATATTTACATATATACACACATATACATACTGTATATAAACAAATACACACAAATATATGTACATACGTATATATGTGTATTTATATATGTACAGTATATATGTTTGTGTATTTCTACAAAATAAACAGTTTTCCTGGGATGAACTAACCCAATATATATATATATATCATGTTTATATGTGTATATATATATAAATATATGTGTATATACATATACATATATATACATATGTTTGTATATATGTATATATGTGTATATATATATGTTTATATATATGTGTGTATATATATATACTATATATATTTATATGTATATACCTTAATAGGGTGAACCTCTTAAAAATTCCCCAAATTTTGTTTGTTCAAAAACCATCTTCTATCAGAGGGTAACTACTGTATAACTTGTGTGTAACAGTGTGTAACAGTGTGTAACAGTGCGACAGGTTACCTGCCCTCCTCCATGCCCAGACAAACACTGGGGCTGTCACTGGCCTTGGCCGCAGCAGGGACATGGTTACTCTCAGGAACTTTGTCTCTATTTTCCGGGGCCTGCTCCGACGGCACAAAGGCCATGCACAGGATACGGGACTCCACATTGAAACACTCGGTCACTTTGGGGTTGGCGTTCTGCATGGCCACAATGGCGATCTGTCCCATCTGGTTAGTGCAACTTGCAACCTGGATGGCAACAAAAACAAGAAGAAAAAAAAAAGTCAGACATTAGTCATTAGTACAGACCTAAAGACAACCGTAGATATGTGAAGATCAGGTGGGCCGCATCAAATGACCTGATGGGCCGGATTTGGACCACGGGCCTCGAGTTTGACACATGTGTTTCAGGTAATGGGTAAAAAAAAAAAGTCTCACCCAGACACATCCGTGGCCCACGACGGGCGTGTCGGCTGTGCTCTGAGTGTTGATGTGGGGCTCTGGGTTGTGGACTGCACACTCCACCTGAGCCAGGAGAGGAAAGAGTTGAAAACAGAGGCAGGAAGAAGATGTCAGGTCTGCGTGAAGTGATTTAAAGAGCAAATAAAAGTGTTTTTATAGCGTGGAGTTACTGCTCACAACTATAAAAACATCTTCCGATGATAAGGTTGAGTCATACTGAAGCACTTCCTGTTTGAATGAACGGAAATATTCACTCTGCTTCAACAGAGGAACATTGGAGGAACGTGACCTTCAGGACTGAGGTTAGAAACCAGGATCTAAACACCTGATCTGACTGTTCACATCAACGGATCTTACTTACATTATTACGATAAGGAAGCTAACATGTACAACTGCAGTTATATTTTATTCAACAAACGAGTGGTAAAAAATAAGTTATATTTCTAGGTTTTATTAACGTAAAACAATATAAATGGATATGAATTTATAATCGATGATTAAGGACAACTTTCTAATGTCAGTTAATTTATATAATAATTAATTATACAGGGACAGCACTCTGTAAGAAAGTTCAAAATACAGGTCAAGATTGGCCCGTACGGGGATCGAACCCGCGACCTTGGCGTTATTAGCACCACGCTCTAACCAACTGAGCTAACCGGCCACGTGGTTAAAACAAGAAGTAATTTTTTTCAGACATAAATTTTTACTTTTTCTTTTGGCATCTTTGCTTTTTTCACTACTTATTAAAATATATATGTAATATATATACTTAATGTATCTATAAACAACATACATATGCGCATTTATATAGATATATTTTGCTATACATATATTTAATATACACATATAGAAATATATAAATATTTACATATATTTAGATTTACATATCTATTTTGATATATATGTATATACATACACACATTGTTTATATATACACAATACATATATAAAATATATACATACACATGTGGCTCTTCACACACAAGTTCAAATTATTATTATTTACAGATAGATACATATATTAACCCCTTATTTTTGTTAAAAAAAACACAGCTTTTTTTTTTTCAAATCACAATCTAAGAATTATTTTCCAAAATAAAGTAAATCTATAAAAAAAAACACAGCACATATACACAAAAACTTAACCCCCCCCCCACACACACACACAATTTTTTACTCCAAAGACCTGAACTGGTTTGTGTCCAAACACACAACTCTAGTTCATCACTAAGACAATTCAAGGACTCACCTTGAATTCCTGAAGTTTGGACATGACCACAGGCATCTGTCGCAGCAGCAGAGGATGTTTCTGCTTTTTGATCTGATTCCCATCATCCTCTGCAAACAGCCAGCCCTGCAGGTTGTCGTCTTCTGTTGGTGCGAAGAAGAAAGAAGAAAGAAGGAAACACTTCAGAGATTCTTCAAACATGAGGCCAGGAGTGTTTTTTTAGATGAAGGTTGACGTTGAAGAAATGTCTGATCACAATATGATGACTGTAACTGTGCAACAACGTGTTATCATTTCACTGAGCCACTGTTTCAGTATGGGATTTCCAAGACAAAGACATATTGACACCAGGGATGTCCCATAATAACGGCTAACCGATATTAGCATAATTACGTCATATCAGTACGAATTATCGATTTTTCCTCCAATAATGAACACCTGATAACGCCATGTCTTTGCTCGGTTTTAGCGTCGCTGCTCAACTGACTTGTCTCAACGCAGACAAGACACAAAAGGTGGAAATTTTAGCACACCTAAAAAAAATTTTTTTTTTTTAGCGATGAATTTTGCCCAAATTCAGTCATGGGGATTTTACCTATTTATATTTAGAATGAAAAATCCCCGACAGATATTATCAGCTAACATTAGCATATTTATGTAATATCAGTAAGAATTGGTATAGGTATAGATTTTCCCTCGATAATAATGTAATATCAGTAAGAATTGGTATAGGATTTTCCCTCGATAATAAAAAAACCCGATAACGCCATGCATGGGTTTCGCCCAGATGATGTCTGTGCTCCGTTTTAGCGTCGCTGCCCAAATTCGATCCTGGGATTTCACTTACTTATAGTAATAGATGAAATATCACCATCCGATATTAACGGCTTACATTAGCATAATTATGTAATAACGGTAAGAATCGTTATTGTTTTTTTCCTCCGATAATGAAAACTCGATAACGCCATGCATGGGTTTCGCCCAGACCTTAAATTCGTTTTGAAGTGAAAGTGAAAGTGCATTATTGTCATTGTGACACAGCACACGATGAAATGTGTTCCCATGTTAAAAACCTGCATGTATCGGTTGATATCGTAATCGGAGATTAAGTGAAAGGCATATCGAGAAAGAGTTAATATCGGTCATCCCTGATTGACACAGTTGTCTCATGAATCGTCTGTGTAGCTGAGGCAGTAAAGGTGTCAAATCCAGGTCAGTCCAGTACCTAGAGCCAGCTTTGCCATCTGCAGGTTACTGATCCACGACTGTTTGATCGCTGGGCTCAGAGTGTTGAACACGGCACTGAAGTAGGTGGGTTTACCCGACCTGTCGGCACAGACAGAGAGACAACGGTGATGAAAACAAAACATTAGAATGATACAACACACAGAAGCAATTAGAGTTTTAGAACGCATTGGTCAAACTGAAGGCTCGAGGGCCCAATCCGGCCCGTTGTGTCATTTCATGTTGGCCCCGTACACACAGAGATGTATGTCACTATTCTAGTCCAATTCAAAACAAGTGTAAGTGTACTATAAACTACATATCCCATTATATACAGAATCCATGAGCCCCCTAGTGGTGAATGGGAAAATCAACAATTAATCCCAACAAACAAACAATTAATAATGTTAAAGAAGAAAAAAACAAAAAAAGAAAGGATAGTTAACAAAAGGTGAGAAACAGAATATATGATTGTGCCGCAAGTGTAAAAACCAGAGGTGTATTGACATGAACATATAGTACTTTATATAGATGGATGGATGGATGGGTGGATGGATGGATGGATGGATGGATGAATGGATGGATAGATAGAAACAACTATTAATCCCTCGAGATTTGCCTTCGGGAAATTAAAGGACCTTTGTACAGAACTATACTTATTTACTAACTTTGGCTCAATGTTAAAATGTTGATGTAATTTTTTTTAATTTTTAATTTTATTGAAGAAAATGTTACAGTGTCTTCAAATTCAATAGTTCCAGTTAAAGTTACTGTCAGCACTAGACTGTTCAGCAAATGCTAGTCCTGTTTACATTTAGCAGACACTTAAATTGTAGCAGTGACTTATTGAGGAGGATTAGCAGGCGTGCTAACTGCTACACTATGGAGCCACATCTATCTGTTTGACTCTATCGTTCGTATCTTAGACTGTTTTAACTTTCATCCCCTTGAGTGACCGTATTCGACAGCCCTGACCCAGAACACAGTTCACGTCACTGGACTCTGTACTGTACGTCAGTCCAATCAGCAGCAGCTTCAACGTTCAGAGTTATGAACCAGACATGATCAAACGAAACATGTGAATTAGCATCAAGGAGGCGGACTGACTCAATGAAACGTGACACAAATGCAGCCAGAGGTCAGCACCACTGACAGCCTTCTCCGGCAGCTCATATCTTTGTGTGTGTGTGTGTGTTGCCGGACGGTAGGAGAGGATGTGTGTCCCACGTGTTTCCCAAATGTAGAATCAGGGAAGAACTAATGGAGGCACAGCTGTGTTTCCAGTGTTTCCAAACACATCCCTGTTGAATCTCACCTGCTAAATAAAGCAGGGGTGAGAGACGGGATAACAGGGGGAGGAACGGAACAGAGCGTTGTCCGGGGGAGAGCACGTGCGCACAATAAGAGTGAGTGTGTGTAAATATGAGTGTGTTCATATTCTGGCTCAGACAGCTGCAGCTCTGGTCGGACTTTGTCCGTCAACAGAGACACAGACTTCCTTCCTAACTGTTAGAGAAACAGAAAAAAAATATTCCAAAGATTCCTCTGCTGCTTCAGAATCACAGAGAAAAGAAACATACGATATTGTTGACATGTTGTGTTTATAAAAAAAAACAAAAAAAAAAAACAGACTTGTCGTGTTTGCCCGGCAGCTGCAGCTGGATCCTGCACCGATCGGCCGCCCTGATCTCCTCCTCCTTCTTCAGTATGAGTCTCTGCAGCCCTGACACCCAGTCCTGAGCCACTGTGGGGTACACATTCTGGAAATGTCATTAAAAAAGAACAATGACCGGTGTTATTTTTTTATTTTTTTTTTCAACACACATTGATTTAAAGCACAACTCAAACTTAAGGCCGGCGGGCCAAATGCGGCCCGCCAAGTAATTTTTGGTGGACCATGGGAGCTAACAAAAACATTTGCCTTATACTGAAGTCCATGCTGTTGAGTTCCTGATAAATTAAAATTTATTACACAGAGTAATGTATAATATTTTTAATGGAACCCACGACCTTAGCATTATTAGCGTCACACTAAGCTAACCAACGTAGCACACATCAAAATGTATTGAAAAAAAAAGAATTGTTATAATATTTATGGTCCAGATTCAATTCAGTGTAACTGTGTTAAAATGAAAAAATATTCTCAATATTTAAGTAAAATATATATTTTTTACTGTACAGAACTAAAAGTGCAGAAAAGTAGTCTTTATTTAAAACAGTAATATTTACGGCGAGCGTTTGTTTACATGTTGTCGATCATTTTAAATCGTACGGCTGGAACTCTGTATGTACCGGAAGTAAAAAATACATATATTTATAGTTTTTTTGATTATCAAATTTTACCTGGTAGTTTCCCTTGAGGCTGCTGATCATGTTGGAAATTTGGTTGACCAGGCTGAGGTCATGGATTAGGTTCTGCAAATCCTGGTACAACTGACCTGGTCCCATGTACAGTTTACCTGCACAAAGACACAAAAGTTAAAAAAAAAAAAAAAAAAATAGATGAAATAAAAACTTATTATGGTATTTAAAGAAAGAAAATTGTTTGTTGAGGCTTCAACCTGGCTGTCATGAGACCGAAACCCTCCAACTCTATGAAGTTATACTCCACGTTTTCCCATTATTGCGTAACAATTCCATCATTGGGAAATATTTTTGAAAACATTTTTGGAATATACTGTAGGTTTATCAAGATGATCATGATTAATCACGATTAATCGTGTATTTAAGTATTTTCAAAAATTCATCAAGCCGGCCAGATTGAAACCCCCAAGCGGACCAGTTGTGGCCCGCGGGCCTTATGTTTGACACCCCTAGTTTACACCATAGATATAATGTTTATTTTAAAAAAGCATCAACTTAAATTCTGTGTTGGTTTTGCTTCATAACCTATCAAAAAAACAAAAGAATCCCATGAGTAACAAGGACGAGGAGTAAAAGACACTAAAGAAATCAGTTGTACGGCAATCCAATTAGCAACACAATCCCAAACCCCACAACCGAGTCTTTGGCAACTTCACGTTCTCCTTCCACCTCCTCACCCTCCACCTCCTTCTTTTCCATTTCTCCTACAATAGCCTTTAAGTCTGTCTGCTGCTCCAACCCCAGCTCCATGGCAACCCCCCCCCCCCCCAGTCCGGTCCTCTCCTGAGGGTCCTGCTGACGGGGCATTTAGGGGAAACTTTACCCCAGTAACCATTCGTAGGTGGTCTCTCAGAGAAGGACTGAAACAAGAGAGACCGAGAGAAACTCCTGTTGGCTTCAGTGACTAGTTAGTTTGGTTGACTTTCAACCTACTAGTCAATCACATTGAAAAAAGTACTTGATCTGATGTTAGCAGTCATTTTTTGGCCATTGTTTTTCTGGTTCCTTCTTTTCTATAATGACTCATAAAGTTTGTGAAACACGATATTTTTCTGCTGTTTATCCTTGTGTGTTCTACTGTATGTGCGCGCGATAACACAAAGACACCAGGACTTCAGGACCTGCACCAGCAGGCTGGACCAGTGGAACCTTGTCACCCCTTTTTCAAGTCAGCTCCAACTTCCTGAATGGCTCTTTGTGACGGTGCCAAATGCCAGGGGCTTTTCTCACAGCACAGGCCCAGGAGCGTCTTCAGAAGCAGGTCAGCCATCCCAGCAGTAACACAATTACACACAAACACACTGGGTACAGCACACACATGAAGATGTTGGGTTATTATTTTTTTTTTTTCAAATCTCCATTTACACACATGAAGATGTTGGGTTATTATTATTATTTTTTTTTCAAATCTCCATTCCGTCTGGTGTGCTGCAGCACAGAGAGAGAGAGAGTGAGAGGAGATGAACTCATGTGAGAAGCTCCCAAAGAGGTGACATCATGAGCTGGAGCCGTGAACTGCCTTGTTGCAGGCTGGTCAGAGCTGGTTATGAACACGACTGTTGTTGTGTTGACTCGTTAAAATTTGCCTGAACAACGGAAACACTTGTATTTACAAAAACACACCTACAAGTACAACTATTATACACACACACACACACACACACTCAGGCAGAACTGAAGCCAGCTGGAAAACGACCGAATTAAAGTAAGAGCCGCGTGAAGGCCTGGTACTGTTCAATAAACCACAGAGGAACCACAGAGTTGGCGCCTCCAAGGGGCAGCCTGTTGCAGCAGATCTGTTGTTAAGCAGAAGAATTTCCCAAGAAGTGTGAGATCAAAAAAGTTCAGATTATTGTTGATATTATTGATAGGTGGATATTTCACTATTTTTAGTTGAAGAGCCAACCAGACGTCATGTGTATGTGTACAATATATATGTACTGTATATATGTACTTATAAATGTGTGTGTATGTATATATCAAAAATATATGTGAACCTAACTATAAATATATATGTACACATATAATAAATACAGATACATATGTATGTGTAAATATTAAAATATATGAGTACTGTATATATGTATATATAAATGTGTATGTATGTATATGTGCATATCAAAATATATGCAAATCTAAATATATATAAACATACTGTATGTACACATAAAATAAATACATAAATAAATACATGTACATATGTATGTGTAAATATTAAAATATATATGTACTGTATATATGTGTATATATATATATAAATGTGTGTGTATGTATATATGTATGTATGTGTATCAAAATATATGTAAATCTAAATATATATACATATAAACACATATAAATATATGTACATATATATGTGTATATATACATATATGTGTATTTATATACATATATTTAGATTTACATATACATATATACACATATAGACATAAATATGTACATATATATTTAGATTCACATATATATTTTGAGATACACATATATACGTACACACACATATATATTTATATATATATAAAAATTGGTTAATATCCATCTTTTCTCTAGTGCCCGCCCCTTTCTTCCTCCTTCCCCAAACACCAACATTTATTATGACATGAACCTTCAGTAAACGTATCAACAACAATGGAACAAAGTCTGAGAGAAGAGTTGGCCCCCGGCACCAGCCCAGCGACGTAAACTGCCATTACCTCAGCACAAAGCAGTGTCCAGGAATAAAACTGTGACCACAAATCATACACTCCGGTTGTGCTACTTGTTTGTCTGATCCAGGGCTTTTAAAGTGGACGAGCAGCTGTTTTTTCAACAAAGGAGAACCCTGTGGAAAAACTGAATCCACTGGACTCAGCCAGCAGAGTGAAGGGAATGAAATAATAATAAAAAAACCTCCAGTCAGGGGCTGATGATGATGTTGGCAGGAGTGAAGACATTTAAAAAATGTCTGCAAAATTCCAACAGTAAGTATCGACTTCTTCCATTAAAACAACACTTGAGCTTTAATTGCATAATTAAAAGCACCTGGGACCATCGTCAGCCTTCATTAGCACAGAGAACCTGGAGAACCAACTAGTGCTAACAGCTAACTGCAGTAAGAGTTCTTACTTGGTTTAGCATTGATGACCACTTTCTCCCCCGAGTGCGGGGCTGGTCGGCTGTGGTCGGCCATATCCTCACTGGAACCAAACTCCACAACTTCCACGAAGCTCAGGGGAACACTCCACTTCAGGAGAAACTTCTGGTCCACCGGCACATTCCCACTCCCACTGCCATCCTGGCACCTGCACAGGAAAAAAAAAAGGAACATGACGTTTGTGGAGTATGGATACAGGAAATAAAGGATTGAAAAAAAACAACCCAAAAAACGTTCTCTCAGGTGTCTGTGAGTTCACCAGAGGAAAATAAGTCAAAAGTCAAAACTAGGAGTGTGTATTGGCAAGAATCTGGTGATACGATACGTATCGTGATACAGGGGCAACAATACGATATATTGTGATATATTGCGATATATATTTGACTGGGAAAAGTTAATAAAAAAATGAATGGATTCACTGCAGTAGAATAGATAGATGTACTTTATTGATCCCAGGCTGGGAAATATATATATCGATACTGTAGAGTATCGATACGGTAGCGTGAAATGAAATATTGCGATATTTTCGTACTTCCTTGAACTGATTTTCTGTACAAGAGCATGTGTGTTCCAATTACAGGACAGAAGCTAAACATCCTAGGAACAGGAGTCGTAATCACTCCTGGTTAAAGAGCAAACCACATAAAGTTTGGTCAGAGGTCACCCCCCCCCCCAACCCCCTCCTCAGAACAGGACCGGCCTTGTTTCTGAGGAAAGTGTTGACTCGACGACAGCAGAATAAATGATCATATATATTATATTCCACCCAAGGAAGAATAAATGGTTTTGATTTTAAAAAACCCAGTTCTGGTCGGCGGCAGCTCTCACCGGATGTTGGGCGTGGCGCACATCAGCACGTCGTTGAGCAGAAAGAGGCGGCGCTCCTTGGTTTTGATCATTTCGCCACGCTCGTTGTAGACGGTCTCCACCATGTCGTCTGAACGGATCAGGTAGCGGCTGCCGTTGCTTAGAAGCTACAGATGAAGGTTAACGAGTTAATGGGTGAGTTAGAAATTACCGTATAGATGGACAAAAAAAAAAGACAAAATGAAAGCAGAGGGTGTTTTAACCTAACTAGACATGTCCAATATTAACTTTTTACCGATCAGATATGCCGATATTGTCCAAACACTTACTTTCCGATTCCGATATCAGCTGATACCAATATACTGGGGCAGTGGTAGCCTGGTGGTTAAGGAGGTTAAGTCCCACCTGCTCACTAAGGTGATGGGTTAAAACAGTGTTTCTCAATCATTTTCTGCAATGCCCCCTCTTGGACACTGACGACCCTGCACCAGCATACTGCATACCTGATTATTAAGATAGATTAATAAAATGAGCTGCATTGCTGCCATCTAGTGACTTTCACTTTCATATACAGCTGTTTTTCCCCAAAACAATTTTAGGGCACACATCAAAAACACAAACACAGGCACTGCGTTATCGAGTTTTTGTTGTCCGAGAAAAAAACAGAAAACAATTCTTACAGATATTATGCTAACATCGGGACGATAATATCGGACATCCCTAGAAAAACCCATTCAAAATAACACATAATCCATGACTTAAAGGACGAGGAGAAACAGAACTCTCGCTCTCCTCAACGTGTGGTGTCCTGTAAACACACGTCTCTTTATAAACCAGTGGGCGGCTGCACATAGGCAAATAATTATACCTCAGTCAAAGCTGCTGCTTCACACACAATGTGCTAAAATAACCACATTCATGTTAGAAGAAGAGTTGGTGGAAGAGCATGAAGCTCAGGTGCCTGATGGCCGCCCACGGCACAGGGTATAAAATAATCGTTCCAGTGACAGAAAACACAGACTCAGACCTTGTTGAGGTAGCGTTCGTTCATGGCCTTCGCGATGTGGCGGATCTCGCACCGCTGGTCAGCTTCCCTCTTCTTCTCATTCAGCTTCTCTGCCAGTGTCTCCAGTTCGGTCAGGGCCATCTGGAGCGGCAGGCGGTCTGCGTGGCCCACCGGTGTGTTCTTCAACATGTCCTGGATAAAGAGGAAACCATGATGGGACACTATTTAGTCAGAAAACACCACAAAGGAGAGGAAAATAATAACACCAAGAATGATGAAAACAGGGAATGAAGTCATCTTTAGGAAATACTTTCCCTTGGCCTTTAAAGTAATGCCTGACACGCTGAAGGATTTTTACTAATGAGTACAGCGCCCCCTCTGCTGGTGAACACGGGAACTACACCATTGCTGAACAACACTTGTCTTATCTGACTTTATGGGAACTTCAGTCAAGTGACCTCCGTACCTGTAGCAGCAGAATGAACTGTGGGAACCTTTGAATGGGCTTCATCATGAGGCCGTACAAGGTCATCCTGTCACTGCTGGTCTCCTGACGGTGCTGCAGACGGAAACACACGTTACTGTGGATTAGAGATTCAATTCATGCCTGGTGTGAAATCAGTTCTGCTCAATATTTCTCCAGACGTTTCCATGTGTAATTTATTTTTTTTGTAGGTAACGTTGATAAAAACAACTCGCCTGATTTTTTCAAATGTCTGAAAATGACTTCATAAATAAACATGACGTCATGTATTTTGATTTAATCGACTTTTTTGCCAAACCTTGAGGAACTCCAGGAATCCAGGTTTGGACGCGCACGTCTTCCTAACCACTGCCATTGCGTTGCTGAAGTTGTTGACATATTCACTGTAGGCGTCCAGCACCATAGACTTGGAAAACTGGTGAGAAAACAAACGTTCAAACAAACAAACAAACAAACATCAGTCAAACTAATATACAACATCCACTCGCAATATATATATATATATGATTTGTTGTTTTCTTGTCAGTTAAGATTGTAGCGCGTAATCGAGGAACATATGGGAAAATTTAACTAATGTGTGAAGGGATCTGACCTGAAACTTAACTTGTAATCATCATTTATTTTCTTGTTTTTGAATCCAGTTATTTTAATGAATTAAGATAAAAGATAGATAGATATGTAGATAGATATACAGTAGCTAGATAGATAGAAAGATAGAAATAGAGTAGATAGATAGAGATATACAGTAAATAGATAGATATATAGTAGATAGAAAGATAGAAATACAGTAGATAGATAGATAGATATAGATATACAGTACATAGATAGATATATAGTAGATAGAAAGATAGAAATACAGTAGATAGATAGATAGATATACAGTAACAGTAAATAGATAGATAGATAGAAATAGAGTAGATAGATAGATATAGATATACAGTACATAGATAGATATATAGTAGATAGAAAGATAGAAATACAGTAGATAGATAGATAGACTTAATTAATCCCTTTGAGAAATTTAAAAGGCCAATGAAAACAATTCACTGTTAATACAGTGTTGAGGTTTAAAAATCCGAAAATTATAAAATTTTCACTCCCATCTTACCGATGCCACAAAGACATCCCCGATCATCTCCAGGCTGTCCCACTCAGCCACGCGGCTCGCCAACGCAATCTGGAACAGGAAGTGGCCCTGCAGAATCTCCCGCACGCGATAGAACGCGATCTTCAGCTTCCTGTCGCTGAGCAGCCGTGGCTCAATCTGGGAGAGGGGCTTCTCGTATTGCTGAAAGAGCAGACGGTGTGAAAAACTGTAATAAGAAACAAACCAAAAAAAAAAAATAGATGTGTCCTCCAGCACAGCTGCTCCTCCACACCTCTAATATCCTCTTCAGAGCCTCCAGGTAGTTCTTCTCACTCTCCAGGATGGAGCCCAGGATACATCTTCTCACCAACTGTGGAAAGGAAAAAAAAAAAGAAAAAAACAATAAAACAATTTCTCACAACAAAATGGGTAAATGAAATAATAATAATAACGGAGGGTCAAGCACGTCACCTGTTGTTGTGAGAGATCAGCTGGTACTGGACACAGCACTGGTTCAATATTAAAGCAGTCCACTTCAATGAAGACTTCAGTCTCCTCGTCTTCAAAACACGTCGACTTCCTCTCTGACAGGATTAAAGATGAAACACACCGATGGGAAAATGTTGTCACCGATAGCATTTTTTCAAAACGAGGATTTTTATCGGTGTACTAGCTGGTACTGAGTACAGGTACTGATATAACAGAAGGATGAATTTTAACACAAAAAGGTAAAAAAAAAAAAAAAAAAAAAATTCAAATCAAAGACCAAGTCTTCATCAGTCACATTTGTTATAAAAATAAAATGATAAATAAAATTTTTAATAAAAATTTTAAATAATAATAATAAATATAATGTTGCTTTCTGCATCGTTAACACAGCCAGAAAGTGAGCAGAGCTTTGAAATTAATAATAAATTTAAATTGGAAACATTGACTCCTGATGTCAAGACCACACTTTTAATTTTCTTTTCTTTTGAACTTTGTGTTATTTGATGTTGATTTGGATTCATTCATTGACGTTACTCAATCTTAGTTTGTCAATTTCTAAGATTTTTGTTGAGCCAACGTGAGAACATATCGTATCAGTGCCTCTGTAGATACAAATATCACACTAGACATAAAAAAAAACCCATACCGTTGCAGAATGACTTTGTTTTGATAAAAGACCGTCCCTTTTTCACCGCAGCTTTGGTTTTCTCCAGTCCGTCCTTGGTGCCCTCCTTCGCTGCTTTCACCAGCTTTTGCATCTTCGATAAGACAAAAGACAACGTTAGCTACTTGGTAAAAGTCTCGTGTCCACAAATGACGAGCGCAATCAAACGTAATCTCAACAGATTTACAGTAACAACGTTAGAAAAAAAGGAGTTAATACAGAGTAAAAAGACGTGACGGACAGTTTGACAGAAATTAAACGAGGAAAATCAGTAAAATATAATTAATTTAATGTGTAATTAATGTGTCTATGGATCGTGGAGCAGGGATTGTTTGATCAGATAAGAGAGAAAAAAGAGCAAAATCATGATGAAAAAGAGAGAATCAAGTGGAAGTGGAAAAAAGCTGGAATTCCCAAAAGTTGAGGAAAATTTCACAGATCTGGCAACTTGCTCAAAATTGCTTTAGTGAGATGTTTGATAAACATATATTTTTGTTCTCTCTGGTGCTGTCTGAAAAATTAAGAAATGAAACTATAAAGGTGTTAAAACAATATATATTCATATATATATATGTGTACAGTATATAAATATATGTATGTGTGGCATATTCATGTTAGACAGAACCATCACCCACCACCTCCACCACATGTCATGAGTTAATGTCTAGGGTTAAAGCTGGGACTACGGTACTTCTGCCTCTAGGGACAGCAGCGTTGCCCCTCGTGGAGTTTACCTTCTGCTCGTGTTTCTGTTTTAGCTGCTGCAGCTCAACAGTCCCCACCGTATTTGCCATTAGATCTTTCATCTTTTTCTCATAGTGTTCTTTCAAGCGAGTCAGATCTTGAGAGAGCTAAACAGAAGCAAAGCAATCGTTACTGGTTAGAGACGTCTGCGTGGTTCACCGTCACTCCACCAGGGGGAGACGTTAAATCGACTACAAAACCGTGAAACGATTTTTAATATTTACTCATTCATCTCGACTCTTGAGATGAAAAAAATGGTGACGATCAATGTCTTGACACCCTGGACGGTTCTCCAGTGCGTCACATGACCACATACCAAGACAAACAACGATTCACACTGAAACCCCTGGTCAATTAAAAGTGAATAATTAACCGAATCACACAGATCAAAGAAATTACCGTAACTTCCGGACTATTGGGCGTATCTGAATATAAGCCGAACACTACACCACTACCTTTAAAAAGAAAATAAATATCGTATATACGTGGGATATTTACACAGAAATATAATATAATATTTTCGCTTTTAATTAAATGTTTTCCCCCAACAGTCCCTGTAACACGGCTAGTTACACGTTAGCTCTTTCCTGCTTCGTAGCCCCGACCTCTAACGTTAGCTCCGAAGCTAACATTAGCTCCGCGGCTAACTTTAGCTCCGCGGCTAACTCCCTTCACTTCGTGCTTGTCCGCAGCAGAGGTAAACAAAAACAGGGAAGTTGTGGTCTTTATTATCAGCCACACCGAGCACAACAGAACATAAACAGCGTTTTAACAGCTCTAATGAACTGACGCTTCAACGTGACAGGACGACAACTTCTCTCAACTTCCGCTACCATTCTTTCTCGCGCACGCGCGACCCACGGACATTTACGCACACAGCAATTCACAGACAGACATACGCTACTAGTGTAGCACACAGTAGCCCACCACAAAAGTCATTGATCGCTAGCAGTATGAACTTCGTTAGCCCGATAAAATCCACAAATTAGCCGCATCATTGTTTACGCTGCAGGGTTTAAGCGTGGCATCATTGTTTACGCCGCAGGGTTTAAGCGTGTGAAAAAAGTGGCGGCTTATAGTCCGGAAATTACGGTACTTTCAATAACTTGTAGGATTTCAACCAGTGAACTCGTGCTGTCAGGCAGGGGGCACCAGCCACTCTACCACCACGTGGCCCACATTTATTAAAATTTATCAGAGAGCCACTGCTCTGCTCCATGACTAACGATAATATAAATAATATTTTAATAATATTTTTCATACACATTTTCATCATTATTATTGTTTTCATTTTTATAAGCAATTTTCTATTGGTTATAAATTATTGTTTTCTTTTATTTATTTTAACAATTTGGCAAGTTGCACTGATTTGAGAAGAAAACAGTTGAATAGTAATTTACTGTCTGGTAATGATTTGGTTAAAAGAAATGGAAAAAACCCCCACAAATATATCTGACATACTGACATATACTTGACATACATCAGGTGTATGTCAGTACGTCAGTCAGGTACACGTCAGTTGGATTTCTATGTTGACATGAGGTCACAGAGAGGTTGTTGACTGTATCTTTGGTCAATTGAAAACTATTTTTTTTAAAAAAAGTGACCCTCATGAACATCACGTTCCTCGGCTGCAGACAGAACTACTTCCTGCTTCATTCACTGGAGTCGTGCGTCGTCCACCCACAGTTGGACGACATATTTACACAGGACTTGACCGTTGGCTACACTCCAGAGACAGGAAGGGGATGGGATCGGAGGGTGACGGGGCGAGGGGGGGGGTATTGTTACACACATGTGTCTTCCTCTGGGGCGGCTTCCCTCTCATGAAGGCGTGGGGCAGGCCGTTCTCGGCGGCACCCTCCCCGTCGCTGGCCTCGTCGTAGCTTTCAAACTCGCTGGAGCTCCAACCGTTGTCGAGGGAGCTGCCGCCGCCTCCCTCCTCCCCCAGCTCCACGTCATCGTAGATCATCTCATCTGGGTCTGTATAAAAACACAGCACAGGCGTGTCGAGGTGAAGAGGTCGTGGACCAGTACTAGGACTAGGACATGTTTATGGGTCATTTGGTACCAGATGGAAAAAAAAACAGAGACAAAATACTGTATTACTTCGTGTACTTGACTGTTGGTGTAAAAGAAAAACGGTACGGCAGAATGAGAAATATGAATCACGATTAATCGCGACCAAGATTAATTGTAATTAATTATGATTAATTGTGATCAATCTTGAAACTGTTATTGGTATTGGTGTCATTCGGATGACGCACGAAATAAAACAGTACGACAAATTGATAAATATAAATCACGATTAATCGTGACCAAGATTAATTGTGATTAATCTTGACTAATATTTTTAAAACAACAAAGGAAATCGATTCAAATATGTAGAACTATAATTTATAATTAAACCTCAGTCCAGTCGACGGTCCTGAACAATCGGTTTGACTGTTGTAGACTGACTGACTGTACTGATCTCAGTCAGACTGTTCTGACACACACCGGGCCGCTGACCTGAGGTTGAAGCCCAAACAAACGCAAGCCAAGCCTTGAGAAATGAAGCTTCTTCAGTGGAACTAAAACTCTTTCGTGCAGTGTCTGCAAATGACGACATGCAGATCCACTATTTTGACCTTTTTTTTTTTTTTTTTATCCTCCTGCCCCCGCACTTGAGCAGCGATCTGCCTTAATTGGCGCAACAATCGTCTCAAAGACAGTATAATTATTGGACACACAGTGTGTAACTGATCAATTCGATCCGACTCATTCCAGAAATCACTGAATGAAAAACAAGATATCAATAAATGATGCAGTTTCTATTTTTAAAACAGACGTATGTTCAACGTGGCGTTATTAACAGCCTGACCATCAACCAAACCTAACTCTGATGAGTGATTTATAGGAGTAATTAATATACTGTATATCAAAAGTGAAAGTGAGAGATTTAAAGCCGCTCGGCGGCAGATGGGGCGACTTCACAGACCTGTGTTGGAGTCAGAGTTCTCTCTGGGCACGTCATCATAAATCACCTCATCTGGACCTGAAACACAGAACAGGGAATCAGCTGAAGGTAACGCATGGTGTTCTCTTTTCACCAAGTTTGGTTGCTCATGCTGCAAACAGGATGTAATGTGAGCGAGACCTAAAAGACAGGCACGCAAAGTTTCTGCTTCCTCAAAAGAACAGGGAAGGAAGTGTCTGGGAATTCAGCAGCAGCAGTGTTGAAAGAAGAAAAAAGAAAAAAGAGATTTAAAAAAAGAAGAGCATTGAAGAAACAGATGTTCTGTGAAGAAGCAAAAAAAAAAAAATTTGAATGGGAAATTACATGCATTGATTTATAAAAGGAAAACACATTTTGGATATCGTTACTGACTTTCCATCCAGGCAGTGTTGGCAGGATCTGATGCCCATTTGGCCAAAACATCCTCTTCTCTGATTGGTGGAAACTCTTCACTGAAAACACTAAGAAAACAAATGAAAAACTTTTTTTTTACCAAGGATCTATATAAAATATAGAGCTTGTGAGAATAAAAAAAAAAAACAGATTTTTACCAAGCATCTATATAAAATATAGAGCTTGTAAGAAAATTCTAACCACCCTCATCACAAAAACAAGCGTTTCAAAATAAAAGCTTCAACTTTTGTTGAAAGCGTTAATTAATATTTCAGCAGAAGCTTCGATTTCCGCTGGTGACATACCTGTCAACAGATGTGTCTGCAGTCCTCACCACAGTGACTGAAGGAAAACAAAGTACAACATTACTGAGCACATCTGAAAAAATAAACATCTCATTTAATGCTATGCCATGTGCCACCAGCAGGTGTCACTGATGATCTCATGATTTCCTCTAAAAATGTTTTAAATAAAGTACTTTTTTTTTACCAAGATGTTGGTAGGTGAACATTTCAACAAAAAAAAAAAATCAAAGACAAAGTAAATAGTTTTGTAGGTTTTCACACAAAACTATGTGTTTGAAAACTTTCTCGCTGTGACCTTGGTTAGAAAATTACAGTGTAATCAAACTCTGCCCGGTGCCAGGCCTCAGCCTTGGACGCTGCCGCTGCAGGATTTTAGGGAAACCGGAAAATCCTAACACAGTCAACAAAGTTCTTTGGGGAGGGCTAAATTTAGAAGCTACTTCCTTGTGGCGAGGCCCTTTGGAAAAAAACAAAAGGAAAGACTGGAGCACCGAGGCGGCTGAAACTGTATTTACGTGTCACTGCACTGAGGAAAAATGCTGGGAATTTTGCTGAAGGTTCAGAATTTTTTTTTTGTTGTTGAAATTATTCAAAAGCAAAAACAGGAAATTGGAAAAGGAATGGTAGAAAAATGGAGCCGTGACTCAGCTCAAATGTTGTCGTTTGAATTTGAATTTTTTTGGGTCATGTGAAGTAGTGAAAACAAAAAATAGAAATGTGTTTTATAATTTCACTTTCAACCTTACCTTCCTCGTCCATGGAAAGGTGTCTGATGATGACCGGTGTGGTGTACGCTGGCGTGATGAGGGGTACTCCAGAGGGGGTTTGGTACCCACATGGCACTGGGACAGAGTAGCCCGAGCTGGTGCCACCAACGGGGTGAGGGTCGTTGTCCTGCACCACGACCTCACGACCTTTGGGCTCCACTGGCGAAGAGGCAGGAGAGGGGGGTCCGTGGTGAGGGTCCGGCTGCTGCAGCTGCAGAGGTGTGATGTCGATAACGGAGTAAGGGTTGACTTTGCCCTGAGGGGGCGCTCTAGGAATGGATCTAGAAGGATCCTCATCTTCTTTGTCTGTTGAAAGAAATCAGAAAAAAATCAAAAAAGTCATTGTAGAGACAGAGAAAAACAAAGGAGATATAAAGGTTGAAATCGTAGGAAGGATGATCTAAACTCACTGATGAGTCTAGATCAGGTGTGGGAAAAGTGTTTGACACACAGCGCCAAATACAGGCCTGGAATATGTACTACAAAGACCCCAGTCATATTCAGCTGTTTCGTTTAAACTAGTGGTGTCAAACTCATATCAGTTCACGGGCCTCTATAAATATATTGGATATTTATTATTATTTATTCATATTTAATGGAATTGGTTTGTGTGTTTTGTTTTGTTATTTTCAAAATTCATCAAGTGGGCCGGATTGAAAACCCTAGTGGGCCGGTTTTGGGCCACGGGCCGTATGTTTAACACCCCCTGAGCTGATTCGATACAAGATCACACTATTCTAGAATCAGCTCATATTTTCTCGTCAAAAACCTTCAACATCTACTAAACATCAGGTGATTTTAGATTTTTGAGGTCACCGGATTGGTTCATTCCTAAAAGGGTCCAATGAGGTGAGGCTAAAAAAAAAAAATACAACACAGTTGAGAGTCGTACTGCTCTCCAGTGCAGTACGACAAGTTGACGAGTGAACGGTCTGCCCCTCCTTCCTCCTCCTCCTCCTCCTCCTCCTCCGGCTGCTGCTGTCACAACATTCTGTGATAACAGGCAGACAACCTCCAGAAACATGCAGCCAGAGATACAAGGTGTCATCGGGGGAGGGGGGGCACTAGGGGAAGGGGGGGGGTCATACCGACCCACTACACACAACTCTCACACACCACTGGACTGAGCCGAAGATCACAGAACGCGACAGGAGAACCTGAGGAGTTCTTCTATACAGTCCGACGGAAATATCACACATTTTCAGTCGACAAATGACAAAAAAAAAAAACAAAACCACATCAGCAAACAGTCACCGCCTCGCTGTGGAAGAGCAGACCTGGTATTCCTGGAGGCGTCTCTTCGTCTTCATTAGATGGTGGAGGAGGAGGAGGAGAAGGAGGAGGAGGAGGTGGTAAGTCAGCCTCTGCTTCAGCAGTTCTTTCAGGAGATGTTGCTCCACTGGTTGTGGAGGTTGAGCTTCTCTCAGCTGCTGCTGATGATGATGGAACTGTACTGGAAGGAACTGGAGGAACAGGAAGTTGGTCCTCAGGGACACCGGTCCCCAAACTCTCCTGGTAGTCATTCTCATCGTTTAGTGCTGGAGGAGCTGGAGGTGTCGGAGGCCGGTGGCCGACCTTCGCTGCTTCATCACCGCTGTCATCAAAGTCAAAGACTTCGCCCTCGTCTTCGTCATCAAACGTAGCACCGTCTGCCAACACTGAAAAACAAATGAACAGATTCTGAAAAAACGAAATCAGAAAAAAAAACCTCTTTCTTAAATTTCTACATCATTCTCTATATTTTTCTTGACCTTTTATCCATATTAATAATTCCATCATTTATACCTAAATAAACAGGTGAAACACGAACATTAACCTGCTATTATTTGTCTTCCTGTTCAAACATTATATACAGAATGAGATTTTTTTTTTGCTTTTATTTGGGAATGTTGATTAATCGCAATTAATCATGATTAATTACACTAACAATTAATCATGATTAATCAATGGTTAATCAGATTAAAAGTTTTCATTTACCCTAAAGATTATATGTTATTATTAACAATCTTGATTAACCAATAATGTTGTAATTGCTGTGATAGCACCCCCTGCAGGGAAGGGAGAGAAGGCGACGGGTTTCATGATTTTAACAATACATTTGGCAGGTACTGTAACTCATACACACTGTACAATGAACTTAAATAAAAACTGATTGTGATCTCAATGTAATATGCCATTTATTTATACACTATGACCTAAACATTAGGACTTAAACATATAGTTATATTGCAGTTTATAAAGACTAGTCTGATCCAGGCTTACAGACTTCATCATCACAGGCCGAAATAGCTCAGTTGGGAGAGCGTCAGACTGAAGATCTGAAGGTCCCTGGTTCAATCCCGGGTTTCGGCATTTTGACCTCCCTATGGTTTGCCGCCAACACCTAACCAATGAATTTCAACCACTGACTTTGCATGAATAAAGTCTTATATTATCTTATCAGGGACGTCAAAACTATCAGATCTTCATATTGCAGTTTATAAAGACTAGTCTGCTTCAAAAAAAAGAAAAAAAAAAAGTAAAAGTCTTTGCTAAAAAAAAATCCAGGTTCATAGAAAGGGAATCAAACCCATCTTTAAATTTAGACTGGGTTTAACTAAATAATCATATAACACGATCAAAAGTGAACGGCCCGTACAGGGATGGAACTCTAACCAACTGAGCTTTGGTTAGCTGCAGCTACAAGATGATTGCAGGACACAAAAGCAAATGGCCCGTACGGGGATTGAACCCGCGACCTTGGCGTTATTAGCACCACGCTCTAACCAACTGAGCTAACCGGCCTGTGTCTAAATGTGATTTTTGTTTTCAGAACTTAGGAAAACGGTTAGCTGCAGCTAAAAGAGGATTACACGACACGATCAAAAGCAAATGGTCCGAAA